AATGTATAATTTTTTTATTAATGTGGAGGAGATGGATTGTTTATAAATAGAGTTTGTGGAGTTAGAGATATTAATATTTGTTTACCTATATTTGAATATTAGCCTGGGATTTGGTTTGGGAAGTCCGGGGTGGGTGGGATATATTATAATATTGTGTAATACTTGTGATGTTTTTTTCTTTTTTGGAAAACAATAAAAAAATTTTATTGAAAAAAAAAAAAAATTGGTCATAAAATTGGGTAACAAAAGTGACCATAAAATTGAAAAATCACTTAGTAACTGCCCAACTTAATAACAGAAACTGGTACCAATTGCGGCCATAAGCTGAGGACTACCTGTACTGTATGCCTCAATGTTTTATTAGCATAAAATACAATAGAAACCCAAAGTTCACTGAGCATTGCTGTTAGTCTACAATAAATAAGCAGAAGATATAGCCTTGTACATATAGCCTCTTAGTTCAGCTAGAGGAAACTCATGTGTAATATCTTAATGCCTCAGAGAAGAATGAGTGTTAATTAAAGCCAATTATTTTTGCTTTAGAAGTTCTCTTACCAGGTTCAATTGCTGGGACACAATCTTTTTTTCCATAGATTCTACCAATAGCATTATCTGGAAATCTGTCAGTTCTGGATTTTATAGAAAATAAATTGAGAAAATAGGTCTATTCTAAAAAAATGTTACATCAGAAATAACTGCCCAAAATTTTGGTAGCAGTAATTGTATATTTTCAATTGGAAGAGATGATTTAGATTAATTTGAAATTAATAACCCTTACATTATCTATAGCAAATTCTAAACTGGAATGCGTTACCAGTATAAATAAATGAAACTTGATTAACCATACTAAACCACACAGCAGTTCTGATTCCTTTCAATTTGCCTTTCAGTGGTCAGTTACATCAATGTCATATTAAGCCAGGTTCCTATGTTTCTAGCTTAATATTGTGTGTGAATTCAGCCATTGTGAATTCCAAAGTGAAAAATCATTTAATAAATTTTAAGTTATCAACAAAGTTTATTGGCCCTTAACCAAAGTTTATTTAATCATGGCTTATTGAATAAGCCATAGCTGTGTTCATACAGTATGTAAAACCATTATGAATTAGCACTATGGCTGGACTCCACCCATATCTAAATTTGCATTCCCTGGTATCCTCTGAATTTTTTGCTGTTCAGTTTAATCCTAGATACAATACAAATGTAACATTTGTTTATAATAAAGATTACCCATTAAGAAATCTTTTGGGGACAAGTCTTCAGGTTTCTTTATGCTACATATAAGCAGTGTCTGCCCATCCAATGATGGGCCTATGGAAATCTACAGATGGTCCTTGTTTAACAATTGCTTCATTTAGCAACCATTCGCAGTTACAATGGTGATAAAAAGTAACTTTTTGACTAATCCTCACATTTACAATCTTTGCAGGTCTATAAAGCAAATGGAAGCTGAAGTAACATTATAAGCCCCGTAGAGTTTTCATTAGCAACTGCTTCACTTAATTACTGAATTGATGGTCCTAATTAGGGTCACTAAACAATGACTCCTGTTGCTTCAATACACTTCAGCAGATTCTGGCATACCTATGCATTTCCAGATGAAGATATTCAACCTATTTGGGACATAACACTCTGTAGGGTTTATTTAAAACAAGATCAATGATATTGGAGATCTCTTTTCCCCACCACCCCCTGCCCACACTCATGCATGGTGGCTCTAGCTCTGATTGGGTTATGGTGCCATTGTTTTTTTAAGATTTTTCTTTTATTTTGGTTGAAAACAATAGTAGCTTCTCAGCCTCTGCAAAGTTGG